GCTATTATACGAATATTTTTATGTTTTTCAACTATTTTTTTGGAATTAACGACTTTTATGTTACTACTGTAACAATACATTTCATAATAAAGGATTAAATATATATCTTTATATCTAAAATATCAGTTATTCTCGTGAATATAACAGAAACTGAATTATTTACTGGAATATATCTTCCATCAACATCTAAGTAACCTTGTCATACTTGTTGTATAACTAACAAAAATCTTAATAATATAATATTATCTAATATAATTTTCTGAATATCAGAAAAAATGCAAGCAATAATTAATATGGGATAATTAAAAAAATATTTAATTCATGAAAAGAATAATTCTTATGAAATTTTGGATTAGTGCAAAATCTTTTTAATAATTGATTGATATTAATATTAATTATAATTGATTGATTAATTAATTATATTAGTAATTTTAATATCTATAAAGCAACAGTTTTTGATAAAATATATTTGCTCAATTTGGGTATTTCAAAATATTTTTTAGAATTTATCTAAATATATATTTAACAAAAAGTAGGAATAACAACTATTAAGAAAATGAATTTATAATTATGCACAATTCTCTAATATCAAGAACTTGTAATTATAAAAAATAATCTAGAAAATTTATCAAATATAAGACTGGTAGAGTTTCATGTGAGAGATTGTATGAAATATTTCATAAGTATATGGAAATATATATGAAAACTCATCAAAAATTATTTACTGATAATGATTTAACTAAACTGAAGATAAGTCCTTATTATATTGCTTTAGCTAAGAATAGAGATAGTTATACAAATTACTATTTTTTAAATAGATATTGTCACAATTCGTTATTTCAGGCTCTTCTTGAATATTATTATCAATCATGACTTTAACCAATCATCTGTTTGTATTTAATAATCAATTTCATTTGTTTATTATTAAGATCCAGTTTTGTTAGGATCAATACATAGTGCAACTTATTCTATTCTATTAATAAAATAGAATAGGATCTTACTACTACTAATAAATATCTTCCTTTGTATTTACTTAGTGTGTGAATGATCCTATAGTAATATAGTACTGATATTCTATAGCAATCTGGTTGAATGTTCAGTAGTATGCAATAAATATAATGATGTAATTACATGTAATTAATTTATTTGTTTATAAGATTTAATAAGGCAATCAAGTAATAGATATTTCATTAAAGACATTTTATTTATTATTAAAGTAAATTAAAAAGATCAATATTGAATATAATAACTTTATCACAATATCTACATTCATAAAATACCCTCTTTTATATTATATGCTTGTTATGAATAATTAAAAATAATCAATTACAATTATTAAATATTACTAATTAATTGCAAACTAGTATAAAGAAATTTTACAAGTGTTTTCTTTATAAGTTTGGAACTGAATTTTAGCATGTATTTAGAAAGAATATATTTATAGTACAGTCAGACCTCCCCAAGTGCATCCTCCTCGGGACCATAGTGAAAAAAATATAAAAAGTGCATTTAGAGAGGGCGTGCATTTATAGAGAGCAAAATGCATAGAGTTCTTATAAGCTGGGACCAAGCTATACCGTGCATTTAGAGAGAATTTATATAATCCGTGCATTTATAGAATGTGCACTTAGGGAGGTCTGACTGTAAATCAAAATCTTTTTGTTTTCAAACTTTTAAAAATTTTCATGAATTGATTTTCAAATTTTTTTTTATTATCGTTATATCTAAAAATTCATTAAATAATAAAATCTTTCACAACACTCAGGACCAGAAAAAGATGTGATTTTAAGAGGTTGAGACTGATTCTCTATACTAGATAATGATGGTATGTGCTTATACAAGTACGTAGTATATGTAATTATATATCTTGATAGTTTGATCTGAAAGTACTATTGTATCTCAATCTTGTACAGAAAGTAATTAATTGACTAACAGATAAAGTTGTTCCAGTAGATCAAACAGTAATAGTTGAGAGAATCAAAGTTCTTTGTCAGAAAAATATTTCTTTGATTAATTGAATATCGATATAACAATGAGATAAGATATCGATATCGAAATCGATATCGAGATACGTACAGTTCTATCGCTATTTTATTCATTGTTCTTTTATGGAAAGAACTGAATTTAACATTTAATAGAAAAACACAAAAAATGAAAACAATAGAAACGAGAACGGTTCCAAAGTGTATCATAGAGTACGAGAATTTATTTTAAGATCTCGAAACCTTTTTGATACAGATACCATACGGACGAACATCAACGCCACTCGGAGAAATCCAATACTCGCCATATCCGTCCGTTTCTTCCGCTGAGATTATGAACAACGTATTAGGATTAACACGATTTTGAATCACCACACGATACTCTTGACCATCATGAGTGAATTTTTCGGCATATCTCGATGCGACGTTGATATCAGGCGTAGAATATATACCACGGCCAAACAAAAATCGTTTTCCTTTGCTTAGCTCGTATCCATCTTCGGCCATTGAATGACAATTGCTTTTTGCGGTTCCATGGTAGGAGACTGGCCATTCATTGGTATCAGATGCGTGGCGAAAGGATCTGGAAGTAGCGCCGAGCCAGGCATTGTCACCATATTTATTTAGGACTTTAAGTGCCATCCTATTCCAGCCACATGGTCGTTTATATTGGAAACTTCCACGCATAAATAAAGTATTGGGAGCGTCGAAGACATTCGTAAAGTCGAAATCAAAACGCGGGTCTAGTTGATCTGAATTAAGGAAAGAGCAAGAAAGAATTCCAGTGCCACTGCCACGAAGACGAAGAACCAAATGCAATGTAGTCTCTTCCGTAATAGCGTAATCAACAAGTGAATGACCGTCCTCAAGTTGTTTTCCGGCAAAGATGAGACGTTGTTGATCCGTAGGAATTCCTTCTCTATCTTGAATTAATACTTTGACTGCATCAATTGTATCCGTCAAGTTAGGATAAATGTGAAGTGTTTGCCCGGTTAGAGTTTTCACGTATATAAGATGAGGTTGCCCTGGATTACGATTCCCAGTCGGAAGATTGTTATACAATTGAGTATTATTATTAGTGTTGTTAATATCATCATCATCATCATCATCATCATCATCATCATCATCATCATCATCATAATCCACTTCTAATTCCTCAGGAATTGTCTCGTCATCTTCAATAAATGTATCAACCTGCCCACCGACAAGGTGTGACTGGTGCAACGAGTCTACGCTAAGTTCTCCTTTGAACCGATACAATGGATAAAATTCTGACGGATTCTGTCGACGTCGCTCATCTTCATCATATTTTTTGGTGAGATAATCGTCGTATGAGAGTATTGATTCATTAGTAATAGCTGAAATAGCAGCAGCTAAGAGCGATGCTTTTGATGTCATAATAACTAACGACTAAGATATATACTGTATGGTGATATTCACTAAGAGACCAAGAGGTTTTACATTAAAAAGAAAACGGTAAGTTTTGTATGTTCTCCGTAAATGAAGATTCTAATATGGGCGCATAATGTGCATGTACATGTAGTTAGAACAATGTAGTACATGTATTCAGTATCGGTGCATGATGTGTGTGGCACATATCGATATGTGGAGATAACGATAACGAACGTGATTCTTTTTTAATACCGATACATGTTCATAATTAAATTAATCGTTCTACTAAAACTCGACCTTATCTTTCTCTTTCTCACACAACTCCACCAACCCAATAAACGGATCATCAGTCTCAACATCCAACACATCTCCCTCTTTCTTTTCATTCACCAAATTTTCACTCTTCAATTTGTTATTATTTCTTTTTTTATGTTTCTTTCCACGACCGCCGTCAAGCGGAATTACTAATCTTTTCGCATGCAGCATCATACGAAACGTATCAGTGTAGTCCATAATTTCTTTTTCGTAGTGCCAGTCGCCCACAATTGGGTGTCCAAGGTACTGGCAATGAAGACGGAGTTGATGACGTCTCCCGGTAATTGGGGTTAGACGAACTAACGTGACGGGAATTGATATGGGAGATAGTGGCTTTGATTGTGATTGAGGCGAAGGAACAAGTGAAGGTGAGTGAAATTCGGTGGAAGATGATGCTGAATACAGAAAATCTGATGTTATAGGTGGATAAGATGCGAGATTGAAATGACCATATTGATAAACTTCTATCTCTGTTTTTGCAGTCTATCAAGGAAAATTTTTTTAATTTTAAATCTCTATACGTACAAATAAAATAACCAATCTATACTGATTCATTTATATACCTTTCCCGGATTATCGACACTCCCAAGGCACATTCTATAACGATTCCCAACCACTTGCGCTATCGGTTGCTCTACTACATACCTGGAATCGTTCAAAGGATCTGAATTCGAAAAAATCATTTATTTACATGTATAATTTCACACTTACCTACCTAACCTCTTTCATCCAGCCTCTGACCATAGCCAAATACGTTTTTCGCACACGTCGTTCCATAAACGCAACACAAGCTAAACTTGCTGACAACGAAGTCAATGCAAGACAGTAGCACCCGGATGTGGCATGATCTATTTGATGGACGTTACGTAGCGGAGCTGGGAGTGTTGGGTGGTGATGGTAAAGTGATGATTGTACTTTTTTTTTTATTTAAAGAGAGGGAAATAAATATTAAATTTTAATATTGTATTTTAGTTCGATGCTAAATTATACCTGTTGGTCCACGGTTTGTTTCGCCGTCAATTCGCATATCATATCTGTATTTATAAATTCATTTTTCATCAAGAAATACAAAAAATAATTCATATTCATCGATTTACCGTTACCGTTACGTACGGTTTATCAACGATTAAAAACTCGGAATCACGATATAAAATTTTTATGTTTGGAATCGATTGTTCGTTAAATCGAAGTGTCTGCTCAAGCGGGTGGTGTTTAAAAAAATTTGACGATTGATTATCATTATCGTTATCGTTCTTTGCTGAACTTTTTAAAGCTTTGTTTGAGTCCAGATTTTCTGATTTATTCATTTTTTTGTTGAAAAGCTACCGCTACTTGTATAATTACATGTACATGTACATGTATTATGTTTCACATGTAATCTGCATCGCTTGTGGTTTGTGAAATGCATTTTATAACGATAATAAAATATCGATATACGTACGTACTCTTAGTAGGCATAGCGATAGTTGCATTTTTAATTGATTATCGATATCGATATCGATATTCATTGGTGCATTTTCAAAAAATCGACATCGATATTATTATTGTTATTAAGAAATCAATTTGTGTAAGAATTCCTTGGGTCGAATTCAAAAATTTCTAACTCTTCAACTTTTCTCTGATTCCAGGATTATCGGATTCAATTCGAACGCTGTTGGTATAAATGCCAACCCTATAAAAACTATGGCACCATATACTGTTAACAAACGGGGAGAAAAATTGGTACATGTATTACGTAATATAATAGATAACTAAAAAATTTTGAAGTACGTATAAACATGGAGTTATAGTTATAATTAATACTATTGGATAAATATTATTTGTAGTTACCCATTCATATAGAATTGTTCATAAGGTTTTTGACGAATTTACGAAATTTCTGAAATTAGATACATTTGCAAACATTTGTACTTTATGAGAAAATGAATACAGTAAAATGAATAATAATCTACTAAAAAATAAAGTTGTATGAAAACACTCTTTTAGATCAGATTTCCTGAACTTATAGGGTTCTAAACCTAGCGATTGTAATCGAAAATCAGAAATTGGCAAAATCAGAAATCGATTCCAATATCGATTCTAAGTGGCAAGTTCGCCAAAAATCATTGAATAATCGATTACAAAAATGATATCTGGTATGACTACGATAACATGTGCCAAATCACAGCAACTTGAGCAATAAAAGAACAGAGGGAAATTAGAAATCAATCAGCCATAAAAATTTTAAAGATAAATATCGACAGTGATAGTAATGGATATTGTATGCATTCGAACAGAACAAACTTTCAATTTATTTGCAAAATCTGATTTGAAATTCTTTTCCCAACCAGAAATACACTGCACTGTATAATGAAAATATAATTCATAAATACACATTATATTAAACTCAAAAAAGATTTATCATACAGACAACTTAAATTATATCAAGCAAATAACAATATCCTCAACAAAAAAAAGTAAAAGCTATCAATTATAATATTTGTATAATTGGATTTCAGATATACATAATATGCTTAAAAATATTAAAAGAACAAATAAATCAAACTTATCATTTTGCAAATATTAAAGTTCAAAAATAAGAATTTGATGAATTTTCTATAAATATCAATCTTAATTTGATTTATAGTGGCCTAGTAGAATATTGTATGGTGCATAACACCTAAAGTCATCAAACGTTTGTATTTTACAAAATGGATAAACTTCTTTGCCAAGAAGTAAATAGAAAATTTAATCAGTGAATATACTCAGAAAGGGGCTATTCTATTATATTCAAGGATTAAATTTTGTATTTACTTCTTATTAAAGAAGTTTATCCATTTTATAAAATACAAACGTTTAATGACTTTAGGTGTTATGCACCATAAACACTTTTTAAGATATAATAATACAAAAACCAATAATAACAAGATTTATTATCCTAAACTAATAGATTTTTTAAACATATTATATATTATATCAAAATTTCAAAAAAATATTCTATTTTATAAAGATGCAAATATCTTTATATTCAATAAATCAAATTAAACAATTTTATATTATCAACTTTACCAAATGCATTTTAATAATATTAAACTTATATAATTTGATTTACTAAAAAAATTAGAGTAAAATTTTTTAAAGAAAATTTTTGAAAAAAATATTTTTGTAAATATTTTTATATCTAGTAAATCAAATTAAATAATTCTAATATTATTCAATTAATCTAGTTAAAACAATTCTAATAATATCAAATTATTTAATTTGATGAAAATATTATAGAAACAATTTTCTTTAAAAATTTATTTTGATTTTGAATATTGTTTTAAGAAATAATATTTCTGTATCTAATAATTCAAATTGAATAATTTTAATATCATTAAATATATCTTAATTTGGTAAATTTGGTATATTGAATACAAAAATATTTGTATCTTTATAAAATATATTATTTTTTCACATAAATTATATTAAATTTTTTTATATTTTTTATTTAAATTAATTAATAAAATTATTTGAAATTTAATATTATATATAATATATTTAATAAATTTATTAATTTAGAATAAAGTATTTATTAAATTACTATATATATATTTATTTTATATAATATATTTATAATTAATATATTTATAATTAATAAACTTATATAATATATAGTGACAATTAAAAATAATATAATAATATCAAAATTTATTAATTAAAATGCAATTTTTTTTAAATAAAAGTTTTAATTTTACTAATAAATATTTTTTATTTTTATATTAAAATGATCAACTATCTTAACATATATATTTTTCAGATTTTTTAAATTAATCTGATAAAGCTATTCTAATTGTATATAAAGCTAATTATTTTTTATATGTTTTAATTATAAAAAAATAATTAACTTTATATGCAATTAAAATAACTTTATTAGATTAAATCTAAAAAATTTGAAAAAAATATATAATATTATTTTTAATTTAATGTAAAATTAAAAAATATTTATTAGTAAAATTAAAAACTTTTATATAAAAGAAAAAATCTATATTTTACTATATTAAATTAATAAATTGTATTATTTCTAATTGTTACTATATATTATTTAAACTTATAATTTAAATTATAAAATAAAAAAGATAAAATACTTAAAAGAGATATTATATAAATAAAAAATATTATAATAAATCAAGAAATAATTAAAATACAAATAAAAAGATAAAGTACTTAAAACTTATATATAATTATATTTAATATCTTAAATATTAAAAATATTATAATATTTATATTATTTAAAATATTTTTTTATTTTAATAATTCTTATTTATAATATAAATATTATAAATTTATTATAAAATAATTAAATAATAATAAAAAATATTTATTTTATATATAAATATATTTTAATTAAATATATAAATAAAAATAAAAATAATAATATTATTAGTATTTAAATATAAAAATTAATTCAAATATTTATAAAAATAAAAATAATAAATAAAAAAATATAAATATATATATTTTATAATAAACTACTAGAAATTTAAAAAAATTAATTTTTTAATAAATATTTTTTTGATTTTAAAAATAAAATAAAACTAAAAATTTATATTTAATATAAATATTATAATACATAAAAATATTATTTTTTAAATTATTTAATAAGTAAATTTGTTTACTAAAATTTTTTAGCTTATTTTTGTATATTTATTTTTAATTTTATAAGCTTAACTTTTTTTTCATTAATTTTAGCTATATCAAACTATTTATTTTGGAATATTTAATTTAATATAGAATGAAATTTATTATAAGTTTTTTTATTATATTAAATAGTTTAATATATAAAGTTATATAATAGAATTAAATACTTATAATTATAAATAGCAAATTATTTAGTAATAATCTAATAATTACAAAATATTCTTTAAAATAAAAAGATAATAATAATTTATTTTGCAAAATTTAATAATTAATAAATCTATTATTATAATATAAAAATTAATTTATAATGAGTATTATAATTTATTATTTTATTAAAGCAATCTAATATTTAAAAAATATTTTAAAAGTCAATAATAATATATTTAAAAACTGAAAAATACATTTTAGATTTATATCTTAATAGATATTATTCTAATAAAAATATAGTGAATATTATTGTAATAATATATTTTAAGATAATATTTTATTATACCAATAAAAATTTTATTTCTGATTTCATTACTATAATAAGCTTTTATAATATTTATTTTTTTAATAAATAATATTATAATATAATAATACTAAATTTTTTTCTAATTACATTATTGTATTAAGCATATAGTATATTTATTAATTTTAATTAATAATATATTTTTCAATTTGTAATATTTTAATATATGTGATATTAATAATATATTTAATTTTTTTATTAAGTAAACTGAATTAAAATTTCTATATTATCTTTTTTTAATATATAATAAAATTACTAATTATTTTAATATAAGTAATAATAAAATAATAAAATATTAATTCATCATCACAAAATTTTTAGCTAAATCAGAAACTTGAATTTTTTGTATTTTCTCTGAAAATATTAATTTATTATTTTTCACAAAATTTTTTAGCCAGAATTCTGATTTTTTTGTATAATAATTTATAATTTTTATATTATTAAGAATTAGAATTTCAAAAAAAGTTTAGTTTGAAAATTCAAATTTAATTAAAAATTTAATTCAAAATATTTAATGAGCTTCTAAGTAAAGTTATAAATTATAATCAAGTTACAAATATTTATAAGATAATTAATATTATAGTTAAATATTCAAAAAGTTATTTGAATTTAAAAAATATTTTAATTATTACAATTTTAATTTATTTTAATTATGTTATAACAAATATTTATTTTTTGTATAATAATCATAAATTATAATTATAAGTAATATTGTAACCAGAAATTTAAACTACAATTTTATATAAGATAGTTATTATTAATAATTAATATTTAAAGAGCTATATAAAATTTATAATCAAATTAATAATTGTAAAAATGAAAATTCTTTAATTGTCTTTAAATAAACTTTTAATTTTCACTAAATAGTATAATTTGTACTTATAATTAATTAAAGTTATAGCTCATATTTAATACTACAAATTAATATATGATAGTATATATTGATTTCTGATTAAACTCAAACTAAACTTGAACTTATATAACAATTCAATTTGAGTTCAGTTTGAACTTTAAATCTTTCTTGAATTCAAGCCAAAGTCTGATTTAAGTTCAGTTCAAATTTTGAATCAAACTTGAATTCAGATAAAAATTCAGTTCAGTTTAATTTATAGGAATACTACTAATAATATAAAGTAT